TTACGTCGCTGTTCAGAGGCCAACTGTTCTTGGCCAGTCAACTTTCTACGTCCAGCCCCACCCTTGCAAATCTTCGTCTTAAAATCGATCATAATAGTTTTCGTAATCGTAATATATCGAATAAGTATCACTTTACCTTGTTGGTGTTGGTAATTCAAATACTTGATAACTTCTCTTTTCACTTTTCTGATATTTTAGGCCAACTGTCAATCAATTTTTAATAATGCGACGTGCTGCCTACAGAGCAGTGATAATGCGACTGGCTTGGTAGTGAAGCGTTATTTGTTTACTCGGCATTGTTGTGGAACACAACAATGCCGAGTAAACAAATATCTGTTGACATTGTTGATGACGTCATTTCTTGAAGACAACGAGGAATCACAAATTTTTATAGTAGAAAGAAGAAGATAGATTTAATTTAATGAAGTCAACACTGTATTCAGATGAGGCAACGTCGCGTCTGATGACGCTACACTGAAACACAGTTAAGAAAAAAAATGCGTCGCCCCTTGACACCAGCACCACTGTCTAGATATTGCCTGAACAAAAATATACTTCACACAAAACTGTACAAAATTCATTCAAATAATTAATTCGTACATCGCCTCAATTGTATTCTGTCATTACCTGCTTCATTATTATACATGATACTTCTTGACCCCATAAACATTTCACACATAATTCCGAAATACGACAAATAAATAAAGCTATGTATTCTGTATTTTGCTACTCACCTTTCACAATTTTAATATAAAGATGGCCTTCAACTGGCTACACGTAAGCACAACCGACTGCTCTCGTGGGAAATTTCCTGACGATGGTGTTCGATTCAAAGCAGAAGTTTACAGTGATGCCATATCATTTACATAACCCATGTAAATAAATCGATATACCTTTCTCTTGCAGCAGACTATTTCCAGTATGAACAATTTCCAGCGAAACAGATTGCTAAATATGAATTGTCATTAGCGTACATATTTTAAACACTAACACATAATTACAAAATCGCACTGTGCCACATTAGGCAATAATGAAAGTCAAGTTAGGTCAATGTTGGAATGTCATTGAATGTGTGGAAATAATGTTCTATATAAAATAAGAAATGTTTATAGTGTTTCATTTCTGCTTTTAAATCATTAACAAATCCGTTGATAATGCATTAATTAGACCTTGTGTTGGAATCATTTATAGTTGGCAAACAAATCCGCCATGCTTGTGCGGTGTGTAGACAGAATTTAATCCCTTGTCTGGGGTTTGCTTCCTCCCCCCTTCGCCACCAGATATGGTTGAAAAGTCACTACGTTTGTATCAGCGAGTAGAGGTTACTGGGAAAGATATTCCTGGTGTTGTTGCTTATGTTGGTAGTACTATGTTTACAACTGCAAAATGGGTTGGTATTATACTTGATGAACCGAAAGGAAAGAATAATGGAAGTCCTCGGAAAATCATATTTTCAAGTAAATATTCATTCGTGTTTATTTCACAGTCACTTTAAACATACTACTAATTGTAAAGGTCTTCAGGTTTTTAAGATGTGTAGCTAATCTTCTAAGTCATTTCAGATTTATACGGGAGATATAGTTCAGATTGTTGTCTTCTGTGTTGCAATACTGTGTTAGGTAACAACATACCAGACTGCACAGTGTTGTAGCTAATCTTGCCTCAATTTTTGGATGTGTATTGTGGTAGGAGAGTTTTTCATAATTTTGGAAAACCCGACTCTCTCCATATCTGGTATGAAGTTACCACTGAAAAGTAGTAATTTAGATTGTATGCTGACCAGGAATGGCTTGTATTTGTTATAAAATACTTGTGTCTTAAATGCAGACATATTCTCAGTGTTAAATTTACAAAACAACTGTGCAGAAGTATTGTCAGTGTGTAAATTACAGTACAACTTAGGCAAAATGTATAACTCCCATTGTAAATATATTGCTTTTGTTTAAGTGCAAAGAGAACCATGGGATGTTTGTGCGACAATCACTGCTGACTTTATTAGATGATTGTGGTATCCCAATCAGTGATACAACAAGTCCATCTCCAGGTGCTTTCACTGCAACTACTCCTGATGATGGTAGAAAATCATGATCCAGATTAAGCAGGTGTGTAAGTATTTATTTATTATTTCTTGCCAACGTATGAGTGTATATGTGTCTTATATCCTTGTCAGGTTTTTGATTGATACTTTCTGCTCTGTTTTAATATGCTCATTGGAACTTTCTAACCATGGCAGTCAGTGTGTTAATATTACTTAATTATAAATAAAATTCTCTGTCTGTGCATTCATGGAATAGCATTCGTAGGAAAGCTGAACCCACTACGTAAGTAAAAGCTTAGAAGGTCTGAAACTGGTATTTTGTTTTTGTGGTCTGACGTCAGTGCCACTTTATTCGCCACAATTCTCATTTGGACTGACCTAGGTGCAACTAACCGCCTGAGCTGTGGCATGCCCAAGATAATGCCACTTGAAGCATCATCATTCGTCTTAAAACTTTGCATACCATGTAGTGTATTAGAATATGAAATAAGCAAACAAACAAACTATTGCACTATAGTCTTTTTTATAGTGTTAATAGTTTGTTTGCTTATTTTATATCATCATTTGTGTTCCCAATTCCCTCATATGGAAGATTTTGTTGTCATAATCAAATGTACAGAAGCTTCTACTCTTGTGTCTGTCGATCGCAGCTGAATGAACCAGGAGGTCTTTGCGTCGGTCATGCCAGTCATCAGCTGTACGTTGCTGACACCAACAACCACTGTCCACTAGGAGGATAAAACAATTGAGAAGGTAAAGACCTGCTGCACTAGGGCCAGCGCACACGTAAGACTTAACCGTCGGCTGACTGTTCTGTCGTTGTCGGCTGAAGCATACGACCCATAAACGACACGACAGTTCAGTCCACGAGCATGCGCACACATACGTTCTCACTGTATAATGGATGCACCCAGCAATTCCTTTTCCTCCTTTTATTGAGGCGAATCACAGGTGCACATACTATAGCAATGTCAACAAAATCCATGTTTGACAATCGTCTACTGTCTGCAAATGCTCTCACGAAATGAAAGGCAGAATGACTGAAAGGTCGTTCGTCTGCGCGCTTTCATATAATTCGAAGGGCCAACGACAGAAAAGTCCGGGGTTGTCGGTAGAGGTAACCGACTGCCAGTCGTGTCGTAACAGTGTGCGCATCTCTATATGTTCTTAAGGGCTTTGTGCGAACGACGAAACAGTCGTCTGACTGCTTGTCTTACGTGTGCGGTAACCCTAAGTCCTCATAATGTTTTCTGGAGATAATTTGGCACATTTAAGTCGTTGATATTTGTAATTCCAAACCTGTCAGTCTTAGCTTTACAGATTTCTTAATTTGTTGCAACTATCATATGTTGGTGTCCTGATTTATAAAAAAATAAACACATTTAATTTTTTTGTTACTGGATTAGTAGGAGGTTATTTAACGACTGCTGTATCAAATGCAGTGATTATTTAATGTCAAATGATGTTAAAGGTTAGCTCCATTCAGTGAAGTTGAGAGGATCTGAAAGGAGCAGTCTTGCCATATTAAATGGTGCTCTCTGGAAATTTAGAGGGGGAAAACAATGAAAAGATCAGTCGTTAAATTCAGTGTCTAAGATAAGATTTAAACTGGGCATCTCTGCGATACAAATCAGAAGTGTTGAGACATTTTCAACAATTTTATATATTACTCATAGCGAATGGGGACAGAATTTATACATAATTTATAATCAGCGGATGAAGGATGGTGTTACGAGATGGTTTGTTGCAGCTGGAAATATTCCTGCCACAAGAGGTCAAAAGTAATAAGACTGGTACAGTGCTACCAACAGATCTAACAATCAGTTCAGCCGGTGGTGAAATCAGCCTGATTCCATCAGTCGCACTACATGATGGCCTAACACTCGCAGATGGTGCGCCTCAGAAATGGGCTCTGGAGCTCCCGGGTAATGACCTACCACAATCTTGCATATGATTTAAAAAATATTTTCACATTCGCGTGTGATCCTTCTTTTTCCGAAGTTCAAATCCTGCCTGTGGCGTGGACGTTATTTCTAGTCAATAAACATTTATCCTGCCATAACTAACCACCTTTGTAAATTTTGAACAAGTAATAGAATTATATTTCCACTCTGCTGATAAACGAAGTTCGTATTCTAGTCAGATAAATATAGTAATAGGTCTTTTTCACATTGTTTTTGAATGTAAGTAGAAATTGTCTTGCATTGTGTCCAGATACGTCGTGGTCAGCCACCTCTAGCGGGGAATACGAACGAGAGATGACACTGCGCATACTTGTACCAAAGCAGAAGCAAACTCCCACCACGAGTTTCCCTGTCAATTATCGTCTGTACGTTTGTTACGAACATTCAGAATGCAAAACCTATGCTTTGTTGGAATCGTTATATATGCTGAAGGTGCGCCGGCCAAAGTTATCCACCATTTTACTCGCATTATCCGACCGTATCAAACGCAATCTTCAAGCAATAGCGAACCATCATAACCCATGCATATCCTTCATTTTTGTAACCACCAAAATTGTTTTTTGAAATGTTTATCATCGGTTTTATTAACATGTGAATGTTATTTCAAAAATGCATGAAATAAAGAATATCTGCTAAGCAGTATTAATGTTGAAACTTGAAATTAAGTTTATAAAAATGTACTGTAATAGAAGTCTTCTCAAACACCCCCACCCACAATCTTTCCTTTGCCTGAGACCAAGCTCCACACCTTAATAACTCTTTAGCAGATTCAGGGTAGAAACTGACTCCACAGAGCAGAGTCCTTGAAAAGCTGACAGTCGCTCAGCTAACTCAGAAATTATCCAAATTTTATGGAGCCCGCCACGAGTCCCATGTCGACCTCACACCCTATTTCTGTGAGATCCCGCTTAATGTTAAAGAATCTACGCCCAGACATCCAAATCTTAAGTAGCAGCATGAAACGTTAGTTTCAAACATGGTTACGTCTGGATGCTTTTTTACCCCACGAAATAAGCTGGTAGCCGCTGCTTTACTTGGTGTGTGACTTGAGATGTGGGATAACAAGAACACGATGTGTGTAGATAAAAGTTTTCAGTGAGCCTACATTCTGTGGAGTCCTTGAGAAGCCAGTCAAACTCCCTGCTTTGAAGGAACTTAAAGGTTCATTACAGTGCTCGTAAGAATCTGACGCATCTCATGTTGCCGAGTACAGAAAAGTACAAATTAAGTTCATTCGATCTTGAACAGTTTCACATTATACTGAGAATTCTGACGTGGCCTTGTCAAGAAATCGTCAACTTCCTCCAGCCTTCGTCACGTCACCTGTCTGTAATTATGAAATCAGGAGTTATTATTACCGTAACACTTATCACGCAAACCGACTGTCAGTTTCGATTTCGCTGTGATACCATTGATCCTGCAGTCAATAAATTTCAATGACTGGTGTTGAAACAAAATCTTATTTCTTGGGTTGATTACAAAATCAGTTTAGGAAAAAAAACATTTTTTATATACACTTGTAGTTAACGAAGAGAGGAAAGGCAGATAGATATAATGAAAACAGAACCCTTAAACAAATTAGGAAATGTACGCATTGCGTAACAATTCTGGTGTATTTACCAGGAATAAACCATTATTAATAGCCAATGAATTCCTCACCAAGTTATTTCCCGGACCAGAAATTCAGTTAGGTCTTCAAATGAAACGCTCGATGTTGTCAGATTTACCGCGGTACAAAAATTAAATAAGAAGGAGGCTCATTCCCAATGTAACGGTCCCTGCCGCTTGGAGTTGCCCGGCTCGGTTGCAGTCTTGTCGATCACAGACGTCTACGATGTTATTCGGGAATTTCTGTTCAGGTAGGCATGGAACTTTTCTCATGGAGTATTACGTGGCGAAGTATAAGCTGAATGCCAGCGAGGAAGGTTTCGGTAATGGTCTTGAGATTTAAGTTCGTAGTTTCGCAAGCACAATTTATTTATTCCCTTAACCACTTTACCGAAGCGAACTACAGACTATCCGGGATGACGTCCTCGTCTGAATGCTCAAAGAAGCCTTCTTTCTTTTTGTCGCCAGACTTCCCCCTTAATTTCCACAAAAAATGATCTGCTTGGCCAGTAATGATGCGATGCTCTCATTGGTCAGCTCAGCCCTACTCCACGTGGACCATTGAAAACCTTTTAGCTTGCGAATGGCCCTCCAAGAATTGTGGCTGTCACTCTGGTGTGAGATAGCATTCTGCACTGAGATGCAGACCACCTACCAACACTGACTCATGGCCTGGAAAGGAAGCAGTTGCCTAACGAGTGAAACGCGTAAAATTTCATTATTTGTTTCAAAATTATATTCATTGGCACGTCACCGGGACTTGAACCCAGAACGGGCCGTCACACCATGTAACAAGCTCTCGCAAACTAAATAAAACCATATCAACATCATAATAGTTACTGTAATTTTACCAACAAAAAAAATCTTCAACAGCCCCAGTTTGTATGACTTTTCAAACACCATGTAAGAATCAAACATGTGGAATGGAAATCCACGATGACCGCATAAGAAACTTGTCACATTGAAACACGTCTGGTCTACGAGCTACTACAGACAGACAAGCCACTATTCTTACAGTGCCTGAAGCCAACAGACGCGGGACTGGAACCACTGCGTACCCTTTGGATCGATGTGCAGACCGTCAATCAACTCCAACTGAGGTGTCCGCTGTCCGTCGAGGTTCGTCTCAGCTTCTACAGTCATACTGCTATCTGGAGGTCAGGGTTCAGTGACTTCCTTGCAAATAGCGTAACTGTCGATCCGCTGTCCCACTTGTTCACTCAGAAAAATTACGGCTTGCTGCCTACAGAGTGGGAGACTGTAGGAATCATTTGGTACAAACCAGT